AGGAGTAATAACAAACCTCCTTAATTCTTTGCAAAACGCTTTGAAACTGCAGGAAACACAGCTAAACGCTGCCATTGAGTACATCAATGGGCCAGTGATGAAAAGGAACGAGAGAAGCTGATGATTGAACTTAACAAACATCTGGATCTGTAAGCACTTGATCTGAATTGCTGGCAGTGCAACAATACAGTTCAGACAACATGAACTCAGGAAGCAAACGACACTTTTGCATACGCCTGCGCCTAGCATTTCAAGTCAACCAGTCAGCGAGTTGGGACGAGGCTCAATAGCAGAACGAAGTGAACGCCAGCTCAAGTCCGGAAACCACTTCTGGAAATTACCACATTCTCTGGCAACTTCAGAGAGTTCAAGAGTTTCTGGACAGTGTTCGAATCACTCATTCACTGCTACGAAGACTTATCAGATAAAGACAAATTTTTTTTCTGAAGCAAGCGCTCAGAGGAAAAGCAGCTGCGGCTCTGAACTGCGTTCCTGTCGTTGGAGACAAATACCAGACAGCTGTGGACATTCTGAAGAAACACTTCGATCGCTCTGCCAGCATGGCAAACATACTCATCAACGAAATCGAACGACCTCATGGAGCAAAAGACGATCCCGAAAGTTGCCGAGAAACGTTCGAAGCCATCAATTCGCGGATCATTTATCTGGAACAAATTGGAATGAAGATGAACGCAAACAGAATTTGGCGCAGAATGATTCTGTCCAAATTTCCTAAAAACATCTGCGCAACCTTCATACAAAAGGAAGCAATAAGTGGCGATCACTTCGAAGTTTTGGATATTCTCGATGCTATCGACGACATCATCTCGCTGCGGGAAACGACTGCACTAACAATAGAGACACTCCTTCCATCCGCTTTCCGAACAAGCAACCATCAGGACACCAGTCCGAAACCAGAAGATAAGAGAGGAAATTTTGAGCAGTCTCCATCTCCTACAAGAGGCAATCATCATTTGCAAGCCTCTGGGACACAGCGAAGAACCAACATAGCTTATCGCGAATCACGTGAAGTACACGTTGCACGAAAAATGCCGAATGGAAACGAAGTCAACGCTCAAGCACAAGCAGTCGCGCATCAAAGCGTGCACCATCGGCGATGTTATTCGAC